AAGTATTAGCTGTTTTTCAAGATCACTATACCGGTAATATCAATGTATGATTTTCTGTTGCGGCAGTGATGCACCAGTGAATTACCACAACTAGTTGTGTCACAGCAAATCATAGACGACTTTCCCGGAAGTCGAAGATATGGCGTTTCACATGTGTGCGCATGTCGTTTTGGGGTATAAGGTAAACTTGCATGCGTGATACTATACTTCTTGGTGCACCAATCATTGTCACAAAAATAAAATTCTCGTCTATCGACTATTATCAAACTGACATGTTGGTATTTTCCGCCATGATAAAGCAGGAGTATTTTTGCGCCCCAGTCTCGCTACTTGCGAGAAAGTCATCTAGTGTATGTCAATGACACATTATATCAGCTTAGAGGGCGCCGCGCACTGCAAACAATGTGTAGATGAAGTTTGAAGATGAAGCTGTATCAGTACATTGGAAAGTGTTCAAAATAGTACACTGCTCCATTCATATACCCTCAAATTAATCACCAACAAAAAGTCATTTCTGAATAGTGTTTTCCCAATGTGTATCAATTCTGGATTACCAATTCAATTCCCCCCCCCCCTTTTTTTCTACAGGTTTTTGATATAGCTAAGGATTTTGGTGCTGGATTGATACATATAGGTTGTAAACCACAACCAGACACATTTATTGGAATATATTCAGTTAATAGATTGGAAGTAAGTTAAGAATGTAATCTTATCTATGTATACTATAAAGAAAACAGTGATAAAACTGATAAACTATTTGAATGCTACAATTTTTTCTGCCAATATTTTCATGTAATTTTTAGCTCTGCTGTCATCGTACATGTAGATGACAGGGCGGAGCTGTTAAATAGGTGATTGTCCATTCGTCGTCTGTTCATCGCCTGTCGTTTGTCAACAATTTCGACTTTCGATTTTCGACTTCTTCTTGAAAACTACCAGCTCAATTGCTTTGATACTTGGTATGTAATACCTTGAGTCAGATAGACCATATTTTCAATTCTCTATTTTTGCAAAAAAATTTTTTATTTATTTTGTTATTTACAGTATGTTGATTTAGACCCACACTGAACATGTAAAAGAGTCATGACGACTTTTATGCTTTAAGTCGAAGCCAACTCATACTTTTTGAAAAAAGTCACATTTCACTCAACTGTATTTGAAATTGAATTGATTGTTATTTAAACATTTTTTTTAGCTGAAAATTTTGCAAATTATTGCACAAACAATCTATTCTCTATCATTATATATAATCTTACGATAGGTTCTCTTAGACTAACCATGGAAGGTTCTAACGGAAGGAGCCACGACGCCTATCAAGTGGCCACTTAAGCCTCTTAATTGGCTTATTTCCTTTTGTTTCAACCCAAATTAATCCTGATAAGGCCATTGTCTAGCTCATCTTTGATGTCCATGATAGTTTGCGATTGTTTACACAAGTAACTAGTTAGCGGAGTATGATACAACCCCGCCATTTTTTTAATGTGACTATGAAATATATGCGCATTAAGAAACTACGGTCATCACACATGCTCACTGGGTTTGTTTAGGTGTAAAAGGTCAAAATACGCATTTCACAACCGGAAATTTACAGGTGAACGTTTGACTTCAAAAATTTCCCATGTTTTAAATATTAGCAACTGTAACTAGAACAAGATTTCGAGTGCATACAACAACAATTCCTAGGGACTCCTAAGAAATATTATCACAGAGAAAGTGTTGAGGCATGCTCTTCTTTCGATACTATCTTTTCTGTTGGTGTTCACCGATGTCCGGTGGTCAAAAATTTCGACAGTTTCGGGCGCCAAACCCATGCACTGACAATGGTACCATTAAATAATGCAATCGTCACAAGCAATCATTGATTAAGTCTCATTACCATTACAAATACAAAATTCACGATATTTCATCAGTTCTTCTTCAATCAATGTTATATCTGACAATTTTCCATTAAAGTTTGCCATTTTCAATATTGTACATGCGAGGTACGACTATCGTTTCCGAACATGCTCTGAATATTACCGAATGCTCGAGATTAGCATAACCCATTGTACGAAGGTGTTAAAAGCTAACAAGAACAATGTTTGTGAGCAAACATTGACAAACGATCATGGGGTAAAGCTAAAACAATAGCGTCATGGCTCCTTCCGTTAGTACCTTCCATGGACTAACATCAGCCGCATGGGTAATTATCACCAGTAATCACTAAAAAATTATAAAAATTATCTTTCTTTTACAGTGGGGTATCACAGAGCAGGCCTGTATGATGTATTCACATGTACTTGTACCACTGTATGACACGCTAGGACCCGATGCGTGTTCATTCATCATAAACCAAGGTATGAACTTACTGTCACTTTCTTGGACGATTAAAAGCACTTTTCCATTTTCCCCTTTTGTCTCAGTAGTGATAGAATTATAGACTAAAATCATCTATTTTGGATTAAAAATTATTTTTAGTCCATCGATCTATCCATTCATTCGTTCATTTGTTTGTCTTTCAGCGCTCTTACCTTCGATAGGCTCTGTCCAATTTTCTAATTAGTAAAGAAAAGTGAATTATCAAAAATATCAGTAAAAATAATTTTTCCATATTAATACACTATATGTGCCAACCCAACTGAAATGTTGTATACTCCATAAATAATGTAGGAATATAAAGTAGGAATATTCACAGAGTTTAAATTTAGTGTTGCAGGTATATAAACCAATATTAATGAAGAAATTATTGAAAATTGAATATAAAAATGTTAAATTTTGTTGTTTTACCAACATTTTAGCCAACAAATTATGGCGTTGATGGTAAGGTGGAATTGCGTAAATGCAAAATAATCAGGGAAACCTTGAAAACATCATAAATCTCATGATTCATCAATTTTTTTTGTTTTCAAATTTTCCATGACCACTTTCCGTAATTTCCATTTCTAGCAATTCCACTCTACATTGTGTAGGTAGGTTTAAAACGAAGCTATTTAGAAAGTAGATCAAGCAAGAGGCAACGCTGCGACTACAGTTACACAAGGCAACTTGTAACTGGTGACTAGTTGGCTGAAAAAATAGCATGATGTTTTTTTGACGTGTGGTCTGACTTATCTTGCCGATATCAAGCAACTTTTCCAATGCTTAATATATTGCCGCATAAATTGCTTCTTGTAAGCAGGCAATAAAAAGTTATAGTTACCGTAACCAAGTGATGTTTTGCGGACATTCATATCTTGTACTTCATTCTATTTCCAGCGGAAATTTCCACCATTGTATGTGACACATCGGCTAAAGTTAAACTACTGCTAAATAATGCAACTAAAATTCCTGCTATGAAAACAATTATTATGTTTGATACGCCAACGGATGAGGTGAAAGAAGATGCACTTAAACATGGAGTTGAAATTAGACATTATAACGAAGTGAAGGTAAGAATTCCCTTTGAACATTTTGAAGAATTTTGGAATTTCATTTTGTTATTGTAACATATATTGTAGTAACTGTTAAATTTCTGATGCAGGAAATGTCTGCAATAATTTTAAGATATCGATACGGCTTGAGCAAAATTGTAAATTATATATAATGTTTGTCATATTTTCATCATGAAATACCATCAGGATACCGAAAGTGGAAACAAAAACAATGTACATGTACGTTGGGAAAAGAGATATAGAGAGGGGCGCCACAACGATTGTGGCGTTTTAACTTGAAAGTCTAAATACAGTCATTGTGAACATAGAATCATTGTAAAATTTTCATTATTACAGAATAATGGTGCAAATACAGTGATTCAGTTTTTCTTTCTTTTTTAGGAGCTTGGTAGAGAGAATCCGCATGAATTAGTGGTGAGTAGTTTCCTTATTTCAGTTCTTGTTTTGGATGAAAACAAGAGCTATGATGATTGGCCTCTTTTTCATCATGTGATTCAAGATGGCTGATCACAAACATCTGTTTTACTTTCAAATGCTCTAAAATGTGCATACATGAATGGATAATTACTTTCTGATCTTGCATAATACTTCAAAAGAAACATAAGTTCCTACAGGACCACTAACACAATTTTTTGGTGGGGGTTCTGCCAAAAGAGAGAAAGAAAGAAACAGCCAAATTAAGGCATGTCACCGCATGAGGCAAGATAAAAAACAATTTGTTCCAAGCTAAGCATGACTTGTCTATAGACATTTCACAGTACTGTATAAAAGGTATTAATTATTCACGTAGTTTTTGCTATCAAGTGTAATCAACTTAACTATACTTCGTATGAAAATGTAAAATTACAACAGAACCCTCACTTAACAATCCATGAACTGAAAACTAGTAAATGCTGTAAACTCATTAATTTTTGCTGCTAAGAATTTTCACAATTTAATGATATTTATAAAGACAAAATTTCTTGCTAAATTGTTGTGAAAATTGGTGAAAATAAATGCTTCTACAGTATGATGCATCTCAATACGCTCTATTGAGACTACTCTACTCATAAAGGAAAGAAAGTCAAATCATATCATGAATGCTTTACATTTCTGTCTCCAGCTTCATGGGTTGAAATAACAAAGACTTTCCATGTTATCAACTTTTTTCCCCATTGTATTCTCTGTATTAAAATTGTGTTGTGTGCAGTGGAAACCCTCTGAATTAGAATAAATTCAATGAAGTTTGTAACAGTTCAAAATTTATTTACTGATTGAGTTCTTTTTATTTTAGCCGCCGAAACCTCAGGATCTTTTCACGATTTGTTACACGAGTGGAACTACAGGTAGCAATACTTCTATTTCATTGCCATGTATATGAAACATGTTGAATGCCATCATTTTCCCTGTCTAAATGTTGAATGCCATCATTTTTCCTCGCCTAAATGTTGAATGCCATTATTTTCTCCATCAAAATGTTGAATGCCATTATTTTCCCACCTAAATGTTGAATGTCATCATTTTCCCTGTCTAAATGTTGAATGCCATCATTTTCCCTGTCTAAATGTTGAATGTCATCATTTTCCCTGTCTAAATGTTGAATGCCATCTTTTTCACCGCCTAAATGTTGAATGCCATTATTTTCTCACCTAAATGTTGAATGCCATCATTTTCCCTGTCTAAATGTTGAATGCCATCATTTTCCCTGTCTAAATGTTGAATGTCATCATTTTCCCTGTCTAAATGTTGAATGCCATCTTTTTCACCGCCTAAATGTTGAATGCCATTATTTTCTCACCTAAATGTTGAATGCCATCATTTTCCCTGTCTAAATGTTTAGTGCCATTATTTTCCCACCTAAATGTTGAATGCTATCATTTTCCCTGTCTAAATGTTGAATGCCATCATTATCCCTGTCTAAATGTTGAATGCCATTATTTTCTCACCTAAATGTTGAATGCCATCATTATCCCTGTCTAAATGTTGAATGCCATCATTTTCCCACCTAAATGTTGAATGCCATTATTTTCTCACCTAAATGTTGAATGCCATCTTTTTCTCACCTAAATGTTGAATGCCATCATTTTCCCACCTAAATGTTGAATGCCATTATTTTCTCACCTAAATGTTG